CGACAACAGCCGACCACGCAACCACCAGACCCTCTAACGGAGCGAGACTTTAACCTCTGTGTGTATGGTCTCTGTGTGTGTGGTCTCGGTGTGTGTTGTCTCTGTGTGTGTGGTCTCGGTGTGGTCTCGGTGTGTGTGATCTCTGTGTGTGTTGTCTCGGTATGTGTTGTCTCGGTGTGTGTGATCTCTGTGTGTGTGATCTCTGTGTTGTGATCTCTGTGTGTGTTGTCTCGGTGTGTGTTGTCTCGGTGGCGGGAGGCGGCGGCGGGAGGCGGGATGAGAGATAGAAAAGAAGAACCCCACACTAAGATGTGGGGAACAAAATCAAAAGGCGGGTCACAGGTTCAGTTAAGTATGCACACCTTTTTGTGCACCTCCATCCTGTTTGTGCCATTTCCCTTCATTTCCATCCCCTTCTGATCCTTGCTGATAGATGGAATGCTTTTTGGTCGGCCTGCTTCACCAAATTCCGGTCCGTCGAGGAAGAGCATGGCCTCAAAACATCATCTTCAACGGGGGTGGAGATCCGAACTTTTCGATTGGTTTCACCAAAAGAGGTAGACACCCACTCGCAGCAAGAAGTATGACCATATGCCATGCAAATTATCCGCTGGTGACGCAAGTACGCCATTGTCTAGTCTGCAGTGGGAAGCTGGTTTGGATTGGTTTGGTTGTATCCGTTCGCAGCTTGAGAGTTCGAAGAACCCGATGGAATGGAAGCCCTTCATCAAGACAACTGTCGGATCGGCGAAGTGTTTTGGTCAGAATACACATATATAGCTGGCTCTGGCTCTAGCAGGAATCTTTTTTGGTGCTATCTTTCCTTCAAAGCTGCCTGCCGACTCACAATTAACCAGTGCGCGTCCAAGATCTGGACTCCAACGTGGATGGCTTTGACCTCCATTTCACACACTGAGCAACTCACCAGATTCCCTTTATAAACATTAAGAAACGCACTTTCGCTTGCTGAGCGAGCTCTACAGTAATTTTCCCCTGCCTTCGCCGTCTGCCAGAGCTGCTCGAAAGGCTCTCTGGGGTGGCGCTGGCCTGCAGTTTGCTTGTGAAAGCCGGATACCATCGGATACCAGTGGGTTGGTAATGATAGTCAACGATTAGCAGCCCCTAGTTGACTATTGTAGCCCTGGTACAGTAGGAGCCTCTATCGCGAGCTTTGCTAAGCCTCTGGCACGGTGCTGTAGCTACAGTACCAGGTTGACCACTCTTTCTTTGTAAATGGCCAGATTCCGATACCCCATTGATTCAGCCTGCGCAGAGGGAACGCTCACGTCGTACCCCCAATCCACGGCCTGAAGTCCAAGGGCTCTGTGGTGACTATGTCTCAATCAGCAGTGTCTGATTTGGTGCCACTGATGTGCTTTGGACACTGTGATGCAGTGCAATGCCATTATCAATCGAAGCTATGATATACTGAGATTATATAACAAAGGCGTACTGAATTTACTGAAGCAGTGAGACTCAGTGAGACTACGATTCACTTCGCCCAATTGGCATCCGTGCTGACATAAAGGGTGTGCTCATCCGGGAACGTGGGTTCCTGGACGAAGCACTGGACACCGTCTCTGCCTCAACGCCGGCGAGTACAGTCAAGTCAGAATCAGGTCGTGCCTGTCCCGGTTTACTCTAAGGATCCCGAAGCTGCGGTGGTGTCCAATGACACCTTTTCAGTGGCACAACCAACGGAATCTATCATGTTAAGCATGCGGACAAAGGGATAAACCTATACTATACTATATTATTGAAAAAAATCCTCTCACTGCTATCCTTTCAGGTTGGGCTCTTTCGGGTTCGGACATGGTTGGCCATACTTCTCCGTTGGGCGCCCACACATCGCTGGGCGGATCATCTGGATCAGAGCCCCCTCGACTTCGGGTGGCCTGAACGCAACGGTTAGATGAGAAGTGGACAGGTCCTTTCCGCATTTTCACCACATGAATTCTGCCAAGCATCAACAGCAAAACGCTCTATGCATTTGAAGAGTGCTGAAAAATGCCGGGACAGCTAGCCACATGCTGAGTCAAGACCCGACCTCCGATGCTCTAGCCGACGTATCCATTTCCGGATGCCCACTTGACTGCCCTTCAGCTGTCCTGCCCGCAACGCAACGGGCACCTGTGCAAAAGTGAAGTGTAAGAAAAGCGGCTGTCTATGCTCCTGTGGGTGCTGGGCAAAGTAGAGTCTGGCGAGGCATCCTGGCAAGCAACACATTAATCTCGGCTGATGACACCTCGGCATTCAAATTGCAATTTCTTCCAACATCTCAAATCTGCGGAGCAGTTCTTCGTGACTTGGAATCCAAAGTGCATCTGGGCAAACCAATATCAAAGTATATATATAAGTATATAGTTAAGATGCTTGTTGTGGGTCACAAGGTCAAGTGCAATGGTTCAATCCTGATTAACATAAGAAGATGTGTAAGGATTACGCTGCCGCTTGAAAATGACATGTTATATAATTAGCAAGGTTGGTGGCTGATTTGACACTGATGATACCTCAAGGATTTCTCAAATTGACAATCGAACATTACTTTTCCTTTGGTGGGTGAGACACCCAGTGCGTGAAAGTGGAAGTCCCATCTTGCCCTGACAGATCCCTTCAGCCTTGAATCTCACGCACCGATCCTCGCTAGAGACACGGGCCGAGTCCACCTGAGATCAGTGACGGCGCTTCCGAAAGGTGGGTGGGACTCATTATATAGTATATGGATCATCGGATGGATTCCAAAGGTGAGTGGTTTGTGTCTCTGTGTGAGGAGCGGTCAAAGCTACTGATGGTTTTACAGGGTTTCGCATACAAACCTACCCCTTTCTGCTAAAGTTAGTGGCCTTCGCACGGTTTGATCGCGGCGTGTCTGTGTCTGTGTGGGTGGGAGAGACCTCTGATCATTAGTCCGCTGGCCGCTGGCCCACCTGATTTAGTTTCGTTATCTGCAACATTTTTTCATGCATAGGACTGATGGTGAGCTGGCAACTCAGCGAGCAAGGAGGCCAAAACCACGCCGAAATGTTTGAAAGGCTGCTCCTGTTGAGGAATTTGGGGAAAGTTGAAGACTTTGAGTCTCTTCTTTGGGAGTTTGATTCAATTTTATTTGTTTGATAGAGTCGCTCGGTGGCATGTTGCAAGTGTACTAGAGAGCACACCAGCAGAGAAAGTGAGCAGTAGTGTGCACATTGTGATGTCCTCTCCAGGAGTCCAGTTTTGGAGGCAAGCACTGTGTATAGAGCTGGTGGCGAAGACTACTTTCTCGTCTTTTGAACAAACTCGGCCGTTTACTGAGGAATTCTTGCATGAGACTCACCCAGTTACACAAGGTCTCAAGTGCCGCAGGCCTCGGAAAACGGTGACTGAGGATCGTGGCCCACCCAGTTTGTTGCCGATCTCGCACCGATTTCAAGGGAAGTCCTCTTCGTGACACCACAGCCTGCAGAACCGGAATTCAGGAAAATAGAGCTGCATACATAATGGCATAACGTCTCATATCTCAAATACATCCTGCGTTACTTTGCCCTGACGTGAGGGTTTGGGCCAAGAACATCAAACCTACAAACGCACCCCTCTGGGCACTGCTGAAAGACGCAGAATCTCGGGCTCTTGTATTGGAGGGCGCCTCAGGCTGTGCCTCATCTGACACAGGCGAGATGTTGTCAAACTCGATGAGGCTTGCAGGCCGAAAACTGACAGTCCTGCAAATTGGAGGCTTTAAACACTTGTCTTCAAATGTGTTGTCTAGACATGCCACTGCATCTCCTGCTGTCGGGCATCTCGGTCTCATCCCTCCTCAAAATTGAGCAACGGTGTCCAAGAAATACTTCCAGCATCTTTGAACAATTGCTTCACATTCTGGGTGTGAACAATACTGAGAGCCACACCCATTGCGGCCAAGGTCAGAAGGAGCCTGCAGAACAGGGTGCTGACGGCAACAATATTGCAGAAGCGGCTGCTTTACACTCACTACATCTTTACTTCATTTCATTCATCAGGAGGATCTTTCGGTAAATCTTCAAATCCCACCAGAATCATTCAATTCTGTAATGATCATGTATGATCACTAAATCCTTATCAATGAATCATCTCTCAAAATGTCAAAGTCTTGGTTCGCTGTTCTCCAAAGCCAGCTCCAATCACCCGGCCCTAAACTGCACGCTCCGATTCTCGCCCATGGCTTCATCCTCCTCAAGCACATGGGAGCAGCTCACAAGAGGGAGAACCTCCCAAAACCCTGCAAAGAAGAGTGAACAAACACGCATATATAAGTGCAGTAGGGAATAACTTTGGATCCGCATTAAAACTGGGATCATGTTTTTTTCCCGAGTGCCGCTTTTCTGGTAGGCTTTTTAATAGCCTTTCTACTCATTGGACAGATTTCAACAATGCAATGCAATGGGAATGACCTCACTTTTGGTATGCTATCCTGCACTGGGAACTTGACACCAATCAAAAATTGAAAGCAACCACTGTCCCACTTTCCTTTCTGGCGTGATGAGTTCTCAAGGTGCAACCGACACTTGGATTGAATAATCTGTAGGCTGTCAGCTTTTGCAATAGTGATCTTGTCTGGGCCACACAAGATCAACCCTTTCGGTCCTTCACGAATGGAGTCGCAATGCGGTCTCTACTGGACCTTGCGTCCTTGTAACCAGGAATGGCCTTCGGCAAAACAAGAAAACAACCAGGATGACGTGGGCTGGGACCAGTCACTTCTCTGGCAGCTGACTTCGCGAAACCTTTAGGCTAAGGTCCTGAATTGAAACAGTTAAATTACACAAGCTGAGCATGAACTTTGCTTTCGAACCTGGTACAGAATCCATTGTTGAGGGGAGACGGATCCTTTAATGGTAAATTTCCCCTGGCCGAATGTAAAGAAATAGGAACATCAGTGGTCGAAGAGATGTTCTTGATCCCACTCAAACATCGCCTCAACATCAGCAGTGGGCAAGACCCGCACCGACTTCGCGAAACCTGCAAAGGTCTCCTTCGCAATGACCCGGTGTCTGGGCAACAGCCGTGCGATGACAAATGTAGAAATTGATGAGTTTGAGAAGATCTTTGTTGAATTACGTGAGAAGGGAGGGGACGCAAACCAGCCTCTGTAAGAACACATCAACATGGCAATGGGGGGTGAAGTCGAGAGCGCGCTGGAACAGTGTCAAGAATGGGGAGATAAAAGGCAGAGTCGTAGTAAAGGTGGGGGAGTGGGGTGTTCAAGGGACGTTGTGAAGATAAAAAAGGGCACCCCGAAGTAATGGAGGGGCGTTGGCGTGCTGTTGCTTTGTCTTGTGTTGCAAATAGACGCATAAAGTCGGTGTGCTGCTAAGAGTGGAACGAGGAAAGGTTACTGCTGAGATCACGCGAGGACCGGGGGAGAGATTGTCATTGTTATGGGGGGATGCCGACATAGCAGTGATGCTACTGCCGTTGGAAATAAAAGCAGGGCAAAGAGTGCCTTTACAGGGTGAAGTTGACATCGCAGCCACCCCGGTAGGGTGTAAATAGAAAATAGAATTGAATACATAGGTTTGGGGGGGTGCCCCTTTTCGTCCTGGTTCAGGGGCGTTTTGGAGGTGAAAAAGGGCACCCCTAAGGAAGTCAGGGGCGCTTGCCTGCTGCATGTTGCCAAGCAGTGAGCAAAGATGGCTGTGGGGGGCCCATGGGCGAGGCTATCGGCAGGCTTTCGTGAGGATACATATATGTATATATAGCAAAAAAAGGCGCCCCCAAGCAATTCAAAGCTTGCCCGCTGCAATCTGTTCTCTCTCCTGCCCTCAAAGGACCGCAGCATTACACGAACTCGTACCCTATATGGGGTGCCCTATTGCGTATGGTTGACAGGCGTCTTCACGATTAAGAAAGGGCATCCCCAAGCAACTCCAAGATTTCTTGCAAACACTCTTTTCCTTGTCGGCTATGCCTGTCTCCCACCTTCCCCACAGCAGTCTGTTCCCTCTCCTGCCCTCACAGATCACACAATATCTCAAGAGACACACTTATTTCAATGGCCAGCAGAGACGCGCATCTCCCTTTCCTGGAGGAGTTCCAACCACTTTTCGCGTCCCGTTGTCTCCTCTTTCCTATCATCGACATGAACTCCCACCCCTGGTAGAAGACGGTGTACATTGCCTCCTGAGGCCTCATGATGCTAATGATGCACTATTCGCCATCAATTATATCACTTGCGTCAGAAGACCCCCAAAACCACTCATTTTCACTACCTTCTGTTCGTTCTTCAGCCTAGCCTATCGGCTGGCTTTCGTGAAATATGTGATTGAGTACAGCGTTACAAAAAGCCGTGAGATCTTCCTCTTTGAGCGAGGAATTGAGCACGCCCCATGATTAAGGTAAAAGTGTGAGTCGCAAGACATTGTCATGATGTTAAACTGACTTTCTCAGCGGAACATGAGAACAATATGTTCTCGCAGGACAAGTACTTCTTTCATTGCTTGGGCGTGTAACAATGATGTCCTCGATCAGCTCATTGCTCACGTGAGGTGTAGGCACCCTGACACAAAGGAGGGCGTGTCTGAAAAGACAACACTCGCAACATACCGTTCTGAGTCAAGTGCTGTCGTGCTCTCCTAAAGCTCTTGAACACTCCAGTCAAAGTGTCCGTTCAAAGGTCCTGTCACGGCTTGCTCGCAGGCTGTTTTTGGGATCGTGTACTTCAAACTCCTGCAAGCAGGCTAAACGCATTTGATCGCACAATTTCATCAACAAACTCTAGTACTCTAGTACCACTTCGTTGGAATCTCATGAGCAGCTGGAGGCCATCGCTATTATAGTATGTAACAATTTGGTTGGAGGCCATCACTATTAGGTTGGAATCAAATTCTCTTACCAACACTCTCCTGCACGTTCCCAAAGCCATTGAAACACACCTTTCCATCCTGACAGCGGCTGGAGATGGATCTATACTCCAAAAGAAGAGAAACGATACTGTACATGGCGATACCCAGAGCCGGTATGACGTAGTTGGTTTTACTTTCTGCTCGTTCAAACATTCTACGCATCATCTAATTACTTTGCTCATGGCTTTTTCTAACTAGTGGCTCATAAAGATCAAGGACCTCGTCCCTGCGCCGGAGCTCATCGTCTTTCTACGCTTCCTGTCGTCTCGCTACCTTACCTCGACGAATTCCGCCGCTGAGGCATAGGGGGTCGGAAGCCGGTCGTGCACGGATCTGGAACCAACCTGGCGCGCACACATCGGACAAAGAAGCAAAACAGTTTTTGCCAAAACCTGAAAAAAAGAACCTAAAGTTCTGGGGCCTGTCTAATTTACCAGTTACACACTGGATGAAACTGTGGTTTGGCAAACTTCATATTTTCAGCGACGCTTTCTTTCTGTCCTAAACTTCACTGCACTTGTGCTGGCTGCCAGCACTAAAGGCACTAGCGAACAGAACCGCCTGCTCAATCACAAGGAATATATAGACACTATACTATACTTATAAAATATACTGATACTGTTTCTCTGCTTCTCTCAAAATCCAAGGCTGTGTTGGTCATTTGTGTTCCCGACAAGCTCGGACTGTGACATCCTGGAGTTATATATTTGAATGATCCCCTGCCGCAAAACAAGCAGAAGCTCTGAAGCGCCTCTGTACCAAACGGGTGCAATCCAGAGATTGGCGGCACCTGACCGCATATGGACAACATTTTTTTGACATTTGGCAATTTCTTATGACATGGAAAGTGCATACACTGTAGTTAGATGGTCTAAGAAATACAGTCAAACATGATGCATGCGGAAAAACATCGGTGATGAACACACTTCAACATCCATCAACAGTTGCAATTGCATGGACCTAAAGGGCAAATGTTGAGACTTAGCTACAAAGGTCCTCATATAGCATATGTGTATATACGGTGGATGGCCAGTTGAAGAACCTTTCCATGTCATCCTCGCGCTCTTTCTTTCAAGTTCTGCATTTGAAGTGCATTTCGGGCTCACTTGGTATCAGAAAACAACGTGGGAACGAACGCAGTGATGCAGGGCTCACTTTCCATCGCTGAAGTGCGCCTCTGCATGGACCGGATCAAACTGCACATGGCTTTCTTCGATGTCATCCTGCGAGCAACTCCAGGCGCCAACCTTCGGTTGAACAAAGTGAACTTGTGCAAGAGACTTTCTAGTTGTAACTTTCTATTTGGCCTATAATGGCCTCCCATCTCGTCGTGCTTTCTCCGTCACATCGGCGCGCCCAGCCCCCTTCGTGTCCTTCATGAACGGCGTGGCGATTCGATCCCGCGAGGAACGAAGTTCCGCCGCGAAAGGAATCGCCTGCAACGTCGAAGACGGGCAGAAAAAATGTCCGAATTGGTCAATGGCAAGCCTATATTGCGAGTCGAACTTTTTGAAGGGTTTCAAGAATGCTCAAACAACCACCAGCGCTGACGGTCTAGGTTCTCCAACTTCCTAGAAATTGGAGACTTGGCAACATATTGTAGTATTTGTCAACTAGTGTGAGACTAACAATTCATCAACATGTCAAGCCACACGACTGTGCACCAGCCTGTACATCGGCCGTGGGCAAAACACGGACAGATTTGGCAAAGCCTGCAAAAGTTTCCTGTCCATGGAGCCACAAGTCAATCGATTTGGGAAGGCTCACATGCTCATTTCCAGAAAAAGTGCCAAACGATCTTCTTTGTCAACATGAGATACATGTGGTTTACAGGGACTGTTGGTCAAGCCTTTGGAGACCAATGTTGTGACCTCTTGTTTCCAACAGCTCAGAGTTTTTGGACATTTCAGAGAGTGCAGGCCCACACCCTCCGAAGGTTTTGAACTTGGATGAACTTGGAGTTTCTCTGCTTGCTCCAGCTGCAAAAGCTTCAACAGACCTGCGAATATACAAAGGCTATCAAAGGCTTGGAAATGTAGGAATGGCATGGAGGACCCTAGACGCCCAGTGCTCTCCTCGATCAATTCGGCGCTGACGTGCGGTGTAGGTACCCTGCGCTGCGACCGAATGGGAGGGATGTAACCTATGATAGAGTGGAAAGAACATGAACAAACACGTGAAACACATCCGACAGGAACGTGACAGTATGGGTCATATCAATGTGATTCAGCCAACTCTCAAGATTGTTTGAAACATGTTCGATCATGTTTGTGCTGCAACCATGGCGTCCTGTCTCGGCTCGCACGAAGATTCTCTTT